CGAGAGGGAAGGCTGCTGTGAGTTTGATGGATGGGGATGATGGGAGTAGGGTGCTGCTAGTTTTTGACACGACGACTGCCCCGACCACTGTCACTCTCACGAAGGTAAAGGAGCCAACTACCAGTTCTGGCAGCAAGCGCAGGAGACAGGAATCATCGGGTCAGACCCAAACCTCTTTGGCTCCGGCTCCTTCGATAACGTCTCTAACCCAGGATAATTGGCCTGCATATAACGGATCATTTGCTCCGGGATCCACTAGGGATGGGTTTTCTCTGGCTTACGAAGGGGACCTGGTGGTGCTAAGTGGGGGAGGGGATGATGGAGATCCGGTAGCTGTGTTTAACGCAAGGTCAAATTCTTGGGTCAATACGACAGAATTATTCACCGGTCAATCATTCATCACGGACTCGAGTAGTAGTACCTCTTCACAAACCGTTACGCGCCTGGTTCGGCCGACGTCAGAGGTATCATCAATCGTTTCTCCGACATCCGGATCAACAAGGGCAGGCCTCTCGGACGACGGCAGTACCAAACTATCCACTGTCCAACTCTTATTTATCATCCTTGGCTCCATTCTTGCCGCAGTCCTAATTCTTGCCATCTCCCTCTTCGTCTTGAAACGGCGGAGGAGGCAAGAAACCCACCGTCAAGCCGGCCATGAACGTCGCGCTAGCGGTGCGACACGCTTGTCCTTCCAAGACCGCGGCACCTCGTTCATGCGGGAAGCTGACGGCCCACTCCCTTCACCCCGACGCGGAATTCTATCCCGCAGTAACTCCAACAGCTGGGCGCACGTAGAAAAGCGAGCCCTTAGCCCCTCGCCCTCATCTAGCACACGAGCCCTAACCAGGGATGCAGGACCAATAGTTCATGCAGTGGGTGGCATCGGAATAGTAAGCAGCGGACAAAGTACCCCACGACCACTGCCTGCCAATAACGGAAGCACTACGGGCCGAACTCCAAGTTCAAACTACGATAGAGAGCGCGGCTCAGGCTGGAGCGACTGGTTCTCCGGCACGAATGCTACAACAAACCTAGTCACGCTCCCGCAAAGGTCATACTCCACCACCCGCTCATCCGCCTACACCGACCTCACAACAAACTACTCACCCCCGCAAGGCCTGCACACAAACCCATACTTGCACAATGCGGGAACCGGTGTCGTAGCCGGTGGTATCGGTGTCGTAACGTCACCCCGCTCACAGACAAGCCTACAGCGCTTCCCATCTAAAGGCCTTGTTCTGCAGGACCCTGGCGTGGGTGTCGGCTTAGCCCGCCGCGGGGATCATCAACAATTACATCCCGATGACGCGAGTGTTTCCACAAAGGCCAGTAGCTTTTCAAGCGGCATCCCGGACAGTATTGATGATGAGAGGATGGTCAACTCGGGCTGGACGCCGATGGGTGGTGGCGGGGAGGACAGGTGGGAGTATAGCGGTGGTGGGGGAAGTTGGCAGCAGCAGCGGCAGACTGTTACGAGCAGCGTTTACCCAGAGAGTTTATTGATAGGTGACGAATCTAAGAGGAGTACAGGGCCAGATTTGAAGCCCGGCGTGGGTGTGGATAGTCTCAGTTGGTTGAATTTGAGGCAGAGTTGAGAACTATTTCAACTTCTATTTTAATGTTGGAGCGAATGTGTGGTCCTCTCGTTGTGGATTGTGTCATATTTAAGTTCGTGTGTATGTACCTAAACCTCATCATCTCTTTCTTTCCTTTTTCCTTTCCATCCCATCAATGCCCTTTTCCTCTCTTTTCATTCCTTTGTTGGAAGGAAGTAGGGTTAGCCTTGTAGTCACTCACGATCTAGTGCCGGAAATATTGATTTCTTCCGGTTTTACTGTCTCCATTTTCCATGTTCTTGCTATTGCTATTGGGTATTAGAGTTGGGTCCTGTTTATCTATCTTTTTCTCTCTCTCTTTGTTTTCATTTACGTTCCTTCTTTCGATTGTGATTCTCTTTTTTCTTTCCTATTTTTTCCCCCTCCTATTGGGTTGCAAGCTACCGGATTGTCAATCTCTCTTTCCTTCCTTCTCATCCTCACTCGGGATAATCTCGCTTCACCACCCGTTTTGTCGGTTGGGATTGATTGATCGATTGACCGCCATGGGTTGCTTGTATTGCATTGCGGGATAGTGGGGAGGGGGGGGAGGGGGTTCTGCTTCTTCTATGTTTGGGTTTCTCACGAGACATAAGTTATTTGGATAGGGAGGGGGTTGCTTGCCATAGTTGGATTAGTTTGGAACACAGCAACCTCTGAATTGGAATAATATTTCGTTCTTGCTCTCCCCCCTCTTTTTTCTCTTTTCGGAATGGCGATTTGGCGTGACGGTGCGTGATCGTGCGCAATACGGTTTGGAGTGTTAAATTTATTATTATCATGGCAGAAGTTATAGTTGGAAACCGGGATAAGCTGAGATTCTTCGCATGGAATGAATGTATCATACCCGCCGACGCGTTGGGTTACAAGTGGCTGAGCGCAGTATCATGCCGTATAAGTACTGGTACATTTGCCGGCAGTCTGACGAGGTATTATGCCGTATCTATAGCACTGTGCTGTACCCATGGATAAAGCCTAGCTTATCGAGTCGAGGCTAGACACATTCCCTGGTAATTATCGCGGCCTTTTTGTCAGCCGCGCGAGTATCGGTATCGTACCGATTACATGCTGTACTGTACAGTACTTGGAATTTCAATACGATAGCTTATTTTCTACGATGGATGGTTGCCTATTCACTATTCAGTTGCCTGTGCTGTACTGTACTTGTACAGTACATGTGCGATTTCACGGTATTATCTTTTTTTTTTTTTTGTTATGATACAGCAATTTTGCTCACGGCGGGCTAGAACACGGATAGAATTCTTATACGACAAGGGATCATTTGTATGGGGTGGGACATTCTCGTGATTATCATTACGTTTGGGCTCGTCGGTAAATGTACACTAAACACTACGGTTAAATATAGCGTTGACTATTATAGCTTGACAAAGCTTTGACCGTGATTACTGTAATCGAGTATGATACGGCACCTTAGAGTACAGTATCGGTATCTATACCCCCACCCACCGAACCCTCCGAGACTATCAAAATCTATGATACAAGGTCCCTCCGGTAGGAATCAGGTGGCGGTGGTGAGCGGCGAAGACCACACACACTTTCCTAAAAATGGCCGACTTTCTGTTTATTCATCGAAATTTTTTTTTTTTTTTTGCAATGCTGGAAGCATATCCGGAAACAGCCGACCACTCTAATGCTCTCGGTGTCATGGTACTGGGTATGATATGATACATGCTCCGGGGGGGGAGTGATTTACGGACGTGGCTGTGCGAGTTCGGCATCCCCGGATGGGTCTTTGTCGTTTGCTGATGATCCAGCTTGGGGAATTGGCGCTCGCTCTTGAGAATACATGTGACTCTGCCGTCCGTCTGAGCGCGGGGAGTTTCTGAGATTTAGGTGGTTGGGTTGAGGTGAGGTGAGTTGGTGTTCGGCGCAAGGAGCTGGGTGTATGATACGATGCTGTACTGTACTGTACGGCCTGTATCGGCGGCGATTCGGCTCCCCCGGCGGGGTTCGAAGCGTACGATGGTGCACCATCGCCACGGGAAGAGATGGCCTTCGCGTGTCTGCCTGACAGTATTAACGCGAGCATTCCCACATCTCTGAGAGTTTGTCACCGTTGTGCTGGCATCGGTACAGCGGTTGAGCTATGATATTCCGAGTCCAGTTCCTAAGTATGTTATTTGAGAGGTCATGGGTGGTCACTCGAGGTTCCTTAATTCGTTTGTCTGTGACGTTCACTTTTGCGATATCGTCGGTTCCTTGCCTTGGTGGCTATGGAGTATGATAATTGGCCAAACTTGACCATCCCATCCAATGAGGAAGAAGGAGAAGAAGAAGTACCGGGTAAAGGAAATGAACAATGGATCAAGAACCCCCCCCGGCTTCTAATGTTTGTATTATTATTATTTTCTCTCTCAGGCATAACAGTTAATCCATTCCCCTTCTCCCTTGAAACTGAACGATAAACCCGTCGTTCGGGTCATCGATACTGCAGAATATGTGGCTACCCGGTTACGGGCGGCCTGACAAGTCCCCACTGGTGGGGTGGGCTACACCAACCCCATCAGAAATTTAATTGAGAGGTCGGAATGTGGCCTTTATCGTACCGGCGACGGGAATGCAGTCTTGCCAGGTCTTTGCCTCTCTGGTCTAGTTACTGGTGAGTTTCAAGCTCTATTTACAAGGTGCTTGTCGAGGTCACTGCGAATTTAACTCTGAAACCCCTGCGGGAGGGTAGTACCTGGATTTGGCAAGATGGTTGTTTATAAGATCCCGCCGGGTTCTAGCTACGGCATCACACTTCACGGTGGCACACGGCTTATCGAAAAGTTCAATCTGACAGTGTGATAGCTCATCCATCTTAATCAGATATCTCCCCCACACCCCCCTACTATCATACCACTTAACCCCTGGCCCAGCAACAACGAGGCATTCCCAGCAAACCGGTGGTTATGGAAGGATGGCGGGAGGAAGAAGGGAAAGAGAGCAAAAGGGGACTGAGCAAATATCTCTCTGACTTGGTCTAGAATATAGGGGAAAGCATCTCTCCATTGCCCAAGAGTTGGCTGTTGTTGGGCTAAAGGTATAATATGTCTGGTCATTCCCAACCCCCCTTGAGGTCTCGAGGTCACGATGGTATAGTGGCTGGGAGGACGAGATTGTAGTGAGTTCCGGATCGGAATCGTCCAAGAGGGAAGTTTTCAACTTGGGAATCGCTATGATACCAAAAAAAAATAAAAAATAAAAATAAAAATTCTATTAGCGGTACTTTTGGCTTCTAGCGATAACGAGTTTCCTCTCATAGATCGAAATCATTCCTTATGATTCCAATGCCTTTAGCAAAGGGCGCCAACTTTTCTTGGATATTGCCAAGTTTGCGAATCAGTGTCGCTGTCGTTTCCCTCCGAGTTATGCTTGAGTACCGGTATTTGATTCCCCTCATTAATCTTCTAAGCTAAAATCTTCTAAGCTAAAAAATTAGTATATTACTGAATTAAGCTACAAGCGCCATTCCCACCTCCCCACACGGTCTAAAAGAATAAGTAATCTAACAAAGGCACTGAAAACCTGTTCGCCAAGTCCTGCAGTGTCCAGCCTTGCGCCTTACCGATTTGTGCCAATGCAGCCTTGAACGCGGGGATTTCGTCCTTGTAAGAAGTCTCCCTGAGGTACTGCTTCCACGGCTTGCCATGAACCTTCATTCCATCCCTATTCCCATAATTAACCCTGCCCAATCACATGCTGACAAGCGAAAGGGAGAAGAGAACCACGTACCACTCCTTCGCCCAATGTGGCCTGGTGTTCAAATACGCGCCGTTGGGCCCCGTATAATTCATCCACCTGGTCGCAACCTCCTGCATGAACGGTTCCCAAACCCCATCCGCCGCGGCCGCCATTGACGTTATAATCTCAATACTTACCGTTCCAAAGGTATTATTAGTCTGCGCTGCCATAATGAGTTCGCTGTCTCCCATGATGCGCATTTCCAGCGCGATACGCATGGGCGCCTTGGGGTCCTCGTAGACAGCGCCGATAGCGTCCCACCAGGCGCGCTGGGCGATAGTCCAGTCCGGCTTCGTAGTGTCTGACCCGAGAGGTGGAATTGGGATCTGCAGTTCCATGTCTCGGACGCGCATGTTCTGTATGCCGCGGCGGAAGTGGAGGCCATTGATTAGGTGGGTTTTTATCCCTGGCTCCTGGGGTTTGGTGGATGGTAGGGACAACATCGCGAGTGATGCTTTGTGATAGTTAGTCATGTTTATTGTCGCACACGGTTGGGGGGAAGAGGCGTACAGAAGATAACAGCTTGCCAGCGACCAGGGAATGACCTGAATAGTGGATCGTCGTTTATCACGCCGCCTAGCCACCCTTCCACCCATTGCAGGAATAGATCTGGGTACGTCGGGTAGTCGATCACCCCGCTTGCGTCCTCGGTATTATCCCAGCAGTTGACATAAGCTTTGGGTTGGTACGCGAACCAGAACCACTCTGAATAGTAGTTGTTTTCGGCCTTCCGGATGAAGTCATGTCGCGCCGCTTCGAGTTGCGTTGGACTGTAGGATTTGCGGATCGCAGCGGGGACGGTGAAGCCCGGGGGTGGAGGAATGGCGAGTCCAATGTCCTGCTTGAAGGGTCGGAGGTTGGCATAGGTCACAGCGTCTAGTTCGATTGTGATATGGGTGACGATACCTGGGGATAGTTAGCAGTGGGGGCGAATGGGCTGGAAGGACCATAGTAAACACCAAGAAGGCCAAATGAGCCGGCTGCAGCCTTGAGTTGAGCTGGATCGGTGAGTTTTTGGTGTTCGCCATTGGCATCCACATATTCGATTCTGCGGACCAAATCACTGATGGTCTTGTGCCTGATGCCTCCGCCATGGCACATGAGAGCGTTTGAGCCGCCAAGAGTGATTCTGGCCATGTCAGCGTTGTTCGTGAAGAACTGCTAGTAGGTAGTTGAGTAAAAAACATACTCGACCATGACAACGTTCAATGGGATAGCCCAGGCATTATTTGCGATAGCCCATCTCCTGAAATCTTCATTGGTGACAGAAGCACCGATCCTCACCAGTCTCTTCTCCCCGCCACTCTTCGGGACATCATGGGTCTCAAGTTCGATAACCTTGAACTCGTTTCCCGTGTAATCCTTACTCGGTAGGAGAGAAGAAGGATCCGGGATTGATGTTGCGGTCTCCAAGTCTAACATTGAGACAAAGATTTCGCCGTCCTGGGAATACATACTTACCCAAGTGTGTCTGTAACCCGCAGCGCGAACACGCTTGCTACCCGCCTTTGCCCATTTAATAAGGTTCTTGACTCCCTCAACAGTAGTAGGGACAAATGTGTAAGAGGGCGTATGCTGGACAGTCAGACCCCAGTTTTCAAATTCCGCACCAGTATACACCTACCAATTCTCGGTTAACCCATTTCTTCTCGGTACTAAGAGGGGGGCATTCACGGTCATAGGCCTATGACTCGTATTATCCTCATAGATAACCGGACTCGTCTCCCGCTGACTGTTCAACCACCTTCTTGAACTCGGGGTAATCCCAGATTCCTCCATCCTCTTGAAATGCTCCTTCGCCGCGGGGCTAAGAGGAATTGAGAACCCACGTTTCTTCACAATACTCTCCGCAGAGTCCCCATTTATGAAAGCTATAACCTTATCCTGCAGATCTTTGTCCAGCGAGGCAAACGCCTCCGCGAATTTCGGACGAGCACGAATACTCTTCAGCAGTTCCCGACTGTACCCCTCTCGGTCAACTTCCTCATCCCTAACTAGCTGCAAAACTTGTCGAAGACCAGGAAGCAACGAATCAACATCGGAGTTCTTGAAGAGATACGCGATTGCCTCGTCCAATATCTTCTCGATGGGAAGGTCGCTCAGGGCCGGGGTTAAATCATCGATGGCGGGAATGCCTGGGGATTTGTGGGAGCCGAGATTCGGATCGCTCTGAGAAGAGGGAAGGGCGGACACGAGTGATGCCAGAGGCAGCGCATGGAGAAGGACTGGAAGTAGGTGCATCTTGGATGCTTTCCCTCCGGCAGGTGTCGTTGGCTGAACAATGCCATCTGGGACACCCGATTTTATGGGCTTATATGTGTTTTTCTCCCTTCTTTTCTCCCTTTTCTCCCTTTCTCTTTTCCTTCCGGGAAAGGTTTCGGCGGAGATGGTAGGCTATCGCGTGGAGGGAAGGACTGGTCTGTGTGTGGCGCTAGTGTCAAGACAGGGTATCATACCTTATTCCAAGGAGGGACGAAAGTCCGAGAAGGCGGGATCGCCAGGAGAGGGCTTGGATGATAAGAATAGGGGAACTATCGTAAGGTCTACTCGTAGTGAAAAACCCACCGCCGCAAGAATTGGAATAACTGGACCTCACGCTGGCCGTCTAGAATTCCTTCCCTGTATTAAGGGGAGAAAAACCCTTTCAATATAGTACCGGTATTATACCATCAAGAAAGTGAAACCTTTGCAAAGAATCACCTTGACTTTGGCCCGCTGTAAAACTGTGAAGAAATATTCAAAAAAATAAAGCCCAAGCGGGGAAATAAACATGTTATTAGAATTTTTTTATCAACAGAAAGCCTTTCTATGTATTAGTTAGCTCTTGCTCAAAAGTTGTATGTTTGGGGGTTTGTTCTACCAAGAGCCCCAAGAAAATTGTTAAACAGCTTTGCCCTGTCATTTATTTCATCTTAGGGAGTTCGAGAGAAAATTTTAGAGGAGTATGATATCTAATTTTTTTACGATTTTTTTTTTTTTTTGCATTGTTTGAGGAATCAAAGGATGAGGGAACTGCGGGAAGAGTAAATACCTGGTATCGGTATTTTGTTGTTCATTGCAATGTGAAACCTTGCGATTATGATACATTTTCTGTTTTCCATGGTACGGTATTTGAGAGGTTTTCTCGGGAGAAAACTGCTTTTCAACCATTTGCTGAGACAAATAAAAAGATATTTACGACCCGCCTTATTATATAATACTAGGAGGGGCAACCCCAACGTCTAGCATGGTCCAGAATCTCCGAAGGGAGCGACACTTGGAGCACCCGTGTGATCACCTGGACACTCGAGTACACAAGGTCTTGGCTTGCTGTTTTGAGGGGGCGATCAACAATGATCGGCAATGATTTGTCGCACCGGAGTAAATGTCTCGGAATCGCAACTGCTTGTTCCCGGTCATAAGGACCTGAAAACAAGAGGGTACAGTATATCCCGTATGGGCACTCAGTCACGCATATATTCTAGCATATATTTCTTTAATTACTGTTTTCGGGTACTTATGGCCGGGTACGAGTTCTCGTAGATGTATAAAATGGAGGTACAGTCTTCACTGAGCCGGTGGCGAGGAGGAGGGTAGGGGTCTGAATGAGCAAAACTCCATTCAAGGATGATACCTCCCGGAGAAGGGAGGGTGTAGCAGAGTGGCCTTACAGGAGTGGTGGGTAGGGAAGATTTCCTTCCCAGCGCAGAACGTGCTAATTCCAGAGCATCAAATATCATCTATCATCATTAGCGGTGAACTCACTTCAGGTCACTCGGGCAACTGTACTCTTTCGGAATAGGCTGATATTCCAGAAATCCCAAAGACAGAGATTGGCGTCAAGAACACCTCACAGCTGAAAACTCTAATGGATTCCGTGAATTTATCAAGTGTCTATCTTCAATTCCCTGATAGCCAGATATACAAATCACCCCTTGATGCTTATGGTCGAGAGGAGATACGATGCGGAGAGCGCAAGTAGAGTAGGGCATGTAAGTTGGTTTCGCTAAAGCGTGATATATAATGGTCGAGTATTTTGTCCGTATCTAAATGTTCATGGTATCCATTGGTATTGTATATGCTTGTCAATTATTGAGGTGCCAGTAAATTAAGGTGGAAGACACATAGTGCAGAAGTAGGAGGACAGGATTCACTCGGAGCTTGGGCATTGAGTTGGAAAGATAGGAGAGGTATTTTTAACAAATTTATTCTCGTCTCTCGGCCTTGCGTAAAAGAAGTATGAATATAAACAAAACATCCTGATCCCTCCATGGATCACTGCACCATAGCAACAAAGCAAGGACATGTCTGGATAATCTTCTCCACAAATCACTAATGCTCAGGAACTATTCATCATGCTCCTAAAAAATCCACCGGACTGCTACAATTTCGAGAATCAATCATGAGTTAACCGTCTTCCTCATCCATCTGCAACCTCTAACAGCAACAGCAGCCAGAATTAACCAGGGTACCCGGGAACCTGATGATCTGAGATGGAATACTTTTGGGATTACTAAAAAGAAGTGATATTTGATCTATTGTCAAATTTGTAGAGTTGGTAGATTTTAAACTATCCAAATCCAAACCCCAGGGTCATTTATCTATCGCCGATCCCCAAGGGACCCAGAAGGCCCGGTGTTGAGTAATTGGCCATCGGTAAAATCTGGTTTACTCTCTTATATTTATCTAACACAGTATCATTTAAAGTTTGGGGGGGGGGGGGGTCAATTGCAATTGCGAAGCATGCTACTCTGATCAGTTAATATCAATTCTAATATTACTTCGACACCTGCGGGCAAGACAGGTGTTTTGGGTCCGATACACTAACACCATTAATTGATTTGCGGTCCTTTCTCCGCAGAGAAACTAACAGAAGCAGAAGATATAAAGGGAAAAGGAAAGGAAAGTGTAGTAATAATCAATGGCCAGAAAGAATCTTTCATACCTTTACTGCACCATGTTCAAGCCCACTCTCGGGCGCATAAACTTCAACTTCCAACAAACCCAACATTCATATTCACCAGGTAACAATATTGTGATCAGCCATACATGGCTGCTGTGCAATATAAGGAAATTTGCATATGAATATGCCAAATGCCTTACTCGCCGGGCTGGCTCTACGAAGTAAGCGTGCGTCTGGCTAAATGATGGCAGTGACGTAACAACGGTCTCGCTTTGGGCACAAAAGGGTGTTAGCAGTGGATACAGGTAGCTATCTTCATAGGTGTTGGGGGTTGTGTACAGGGTTTGAGTGTGGTCCTGGCAAGCTTGGCATGTATGTATTTCACTTTAAGTAGCCGGGTCGCAGCTAGGAAATACATCAAGTCATTCCATCCACGAACACCCACACCCACAAAGGATTCCACCATCCAATGTGTGGGGCTTCTAGCGATTTCCTGTTTTTTCCCCCAAGGTTCCTATGGAGGTTGTCTACTGGTCTGCCGATTCAATGCATCGAGAGTTGTGTTCTCTCCGGAAATCTTATCTAGCTAGAACAATAGGTAGAAATATTACAATTGGCTATTGGGAAAAGGATTACCGGCTAGCATATTGCAGATTAGGGAACTTGGCAACAGAGTGCACATACAGGTGATCACGCTAGTTCTGTGATACTGGAGGAGGAAAATATATGGTGCTTATGGTCTTTTATAACATGCGCGCTATAGAAATCTGCCATGCTCCTTTGGAGGCCCTTTAGCAGGCGTTTTGGGGGATGGTTTTATGCTTTAGTGGCCATATTTTGAATCGACAAATCCCCTTACACATAAGTTGGTCCGAATGGAGAGGAATATACAAAAATGTCTTTTTTCGTAGTTAATAAAGGTTTAAGTAATACAATACTACTGTACTTGTAGCGTACTATTAGTTCTGTTTATAAATACTAGTGAGCTTAGTAAAGGTGCGTTATTGCTTCTGGACCAGCAGCCGGTAATATCGGTTCTTAGAGGCATATATGGGAATATGGAGCAGATAGCATGGGAGGGTGTTTTCTGGGTATCGGAAGTTGGATAAATTATCTGCCATTCGAAGCACGCACTCCATGCATATAGAGGTCCTAGAGACGATCTCAAGACCGACCTAAGGAAGATTGGCGAACCTGTCGAACGCATAACCCGGATCTCGGATGTGTTACTCCGCTGTTTTAGATTTTCTATTCAGATTTGGGGAATTCTCTTGGCCTATCACCATTCGTTAACTCTGGGCCCACACTTCAAACGAGAGAGAAGGTGATGAAAAAGGTAATGAGGATCCTGGGTTACACGAAGCTAAAAGGCACAGTCACGCTAGGGAGGGAGTCCCCGCTTACCTCGGGTAACCCCTCCCAGGACCCTTTCCAGCCTGCTGAGGAAATTTCCAATAAGGACAGCACATCCATCATTCCCTGTCTCCTCCCAACAACAACCAACCTCAACCAACCTCAACCAACCTTCTCTCGTCCTTAAAACTCCTGGATCCCTAGCCTGTGGACTTCTCTCCTCCCTTCCTCCGCCCATCCCACACTTTCACCGACACAAACCCAACAACAATTCTTTCCCACCTCTACCAACTCGAATTAATCAAACAAACATGTCAGCCCCCGCTACCAAGTACAAGGTCGCTGATATCGTGAGTATCACCCGAAACCCGGCCCAATTCAATTTATACTACCATTGCGGCGAATGCTGATTTGTTTCGCCTCCAGTCCCTTGCGGCCTTCGGTCGTCGTGAGATTGAGTTGGCTGAAAATGTGAGTTTGCCTTTTCATTCATCCACTCAATTCTAGGTCAATTAATTAACAACGTTCTAGGAAATGCCAGTTAGTAGCCTTGAGATCCAAGGATCAACAAACAATTCGCTAATCGATACCTCACGGATAGGGTTTGATGCAAACTCGCGCTAAGTATGCTCAAGATCAACCTTTGGCCGGTGCCCGTAAGTCATGGAATGCAATTTTCAATAGAATCAGAGACATTGCTGACACGAAACACTAGGCATTGCTGGATGTCTTCACATGAGTAATTTGCTCCTCTTACGGTCTAATTGACGTCGTCCACGTGTACTAACTATCATGGTCTTTAGCCATCCAAACTGCCGTACTTATCGAGTAAGCCTTTCCAACAGTCCGGTATTTGTTGGACTAGAGGTTAACCGACTTAGGACACTCACCTCCCTTGGCGCCGAAGTCACCTGGTCCTCGTGCAATATTTTCTCTACTCAAGACCATGCTGCGGCTGCTATTGCCGCAACTGGTGTCCCTGTGTAAGTCATGCTACAGCCATTGACCTCGTTTCATAAACTAATTGCCAACATAGTTTTGCCTGGAAGGGTGAGACCGAAGAGGAATACAACTGGTGCTTGGAACAACAACTTATCTCATTCAAGGATGGGAAGAGGCTGAACCTCATCCTCGATGACGGTGGTGATCTTACTGCTCTCGTCCACAAGAAATACCCCGAGATGCTCAACAACTGCTATGGGTTGTCTGAGGAAACTACTACCGGTGTTCATCACCTTTACAAGATGTTGAAGGAAGGAGCTCTCAAGGTTCCTTCAATCAACGTCAACGACTCCGTTACCAAGTCCAAGTTCGATAATCTTTACGGGTGCCGTGAATCTCTCCTCGATGGTATCAAGCGTGCTACCGATGTCATGATCGCTGGAAAGACTGCCGTTGTTGCTGGTTATGGTGACGTTGGAAAGGGCTGTGCTGACGCTCTCCGTTCGTTCGGTGCCCGTGTTATCGTCACCGAGATTGATCCTATCAATGCTCTCCAGGCTGCTGTTTCCGGGTACCAGGTTACCACCATGGAGGAGGCCGCTGCTCAGGGTCAGATCTTTGTTACCACCACCGGTTGCACGGATATCCTGACCGCCAAGCACTTTGAGGCCATGAAGGATGATGCCATTGTTTGCAGTATGTGTTATCCAGATAACCATCGCAAAGAACTCCGCTAATATCTACTAGACATTGGTCACTTCGATTGCGAAATCGATGTTGCCTGGCTCAAGGCAAATGCCGTTAAGACTGTATCTATCAAACCCCAGGTTGATCGTTTCCACATGAAGAGCGGCAGACGTATTATCCTGTTGGCTGAGGGCCGTCTTGTCAACTTAGGATGTGCCACTGGTCACTCTTCCTTTGTCATGAGTTGCTCTTTCACCAATCAGACTCTTGCCCAGATCCTGCTTTACAAGGGCCAGGACACTGCATTCACCTCCAAGTACCCCGAGTTCGGTAAGGCTGCCGGCAAGCTTGAGGTTGGTGTCTACACCCTCCCCAAGATTCTTGATGAGGAAGTCGCTCGTCTTCATCTGTCTCAGTAAGTACTCCTGAAATTTTCCATGGCACTAGAGCGATTAATAATTCCCATAGCTTGAACGTCAAACTTGAGACTTTGACTCCTAAGCAGTCCGAGTATCTCAGTCTCTCGCCCGAGGGACCATACAAGTCTGACATGTATGAAATAGTCCTTCTTTTGCAGAGCTTAATTCGTACTGACTTTTCTCTAGCTACCGCTACTAAACTTTGTAAAAACAAACGTCTTGAGAGTCCAGTTTTGATGAAAACGTACCTGTCTGTCCTCAACGGCATTCCTTACGTGTTGGGTTTTCCAAAATAAAATTGTGAAAATTGCTTTTTTTCCCTTCCATTTTATGGGTTTCTTCTGTTTATTATGGTTCATGCAAGGGATGGGGCGTACTTGGTCTTCAACAGTTACCAGTAGGGTGAAATAAATATCACTAGATTCTTGGTGTAAAAATTGTGCTCCTCATCATTGTGAACTGTTGTGGGTGCTAGTGGCCGCCATTTTGATTCGGGACACCGCCGGTAGTGGCGCTATAGGCCGTTAACTAGAAACCCAATCCAAATAAAAATTGTGACTCTAATTATGGCGATACTATTTCCTGGAGTGCCTCCATAGCTCTCCAGGAGCTTTCCAACAGCGTTATGACAATATTTTTTTGGCTTTACCAGCAAATAAATAGGCGTTTAGGAGCGTCTTTATCATCGTCGCCGATAATAATGACTCACTGAAAAAAGTCACTTGTTAGGACTTGTTTGCTTTGTACGATGACTCGAACTAGGGCATTCGATTCTTCTTTTATGGAAATCCCAAAATCGGTATTAGCTGTTAATAATGGAGAAATAGAAATATACAAGTAAAAACTGGAATAATTGAGAACGACGCTACAAGCACGACGTCCAATATTTCTCCCTTTGTATTAAAGGGCGAAAAGATTCTTAGTTAAGGTAAACAAAAGAACGGAAAATTGACACAACGCCGGCGAATCTGATAGCACGGTTATAGTACCTACCACGGCACGATGCCAGTAAGTAAAATTTGATGGACTGCAACTATGATATATGGAAAATAAGTGAGTCCTGTGCCATTATAATGCCACTCTTGAAAAAAAAAAACCCCCCCCATATTGAAATTTACCCCACAACACACCACAATACTTTTAAGCAGGTGCATATCAATATACAAAAGGGTTTTCTGGCTGTAAAAAAAAAACACCGGGTGTGATAGTCAACTACGTATCATGAAACTACATTAATATGTTGACATTTACATCGTGTCATCACTTTGGCCGACCAAATAATAGTTCTTTATAATAGTTCTTTCATCCCGCAAAGGAAAAAGTGCCACCCTGAATATTACCTCCGGCCACCCGCCTAGCCCTTCGTTTGTTCCCGAGTTTCACCACCTTTCGTGAGTATTTTGTCCTCCAATCTTCAAAAACTAGGCTCATGGAGGTGTGGGCTTCGCTCGCTCAATGGTGACCCGACCAATGATACTGTCGCCCTCTTCAGCACGTGAGCGCGGTCCTAAGTACTCGGACAGACGAAGGGATAGGATGCCATGTTTCTGAGCGCTTTTCAGAAAAAAAAAAACAACAAATGGTGTCGGGATAGATATTTTATGTGGAATGTAAAGCAAAAACTTACCAAAGTTGAATTTGAAAAAGAAATAAATTATGATATCCAGTTTCCGTGACATGGGAAGGGAGGTCCGGAGAACGGTTCACGGAGTATCATTACAAAAGTGGAATACCTTGCTAGCCCTAGTCCCATTGTGTTCCCGGGGGTCTAGCAACAGAGTCTCTTCGAGTTGCCGTTGATAAGTTGCTGTTGGTTCTTATGACGAAAGGGTTATGAATGAAGGTGTATTGTTGAAGTCTCCCTTCTATGATGAGATGCGGGGGGATAGCTGTTACGAGACATGTAAGGAAAATATGCCAGCCCCAATTAGTTCCATAACAAAACCTTTAGCCTCCGTTTCCTCCCTCGTTACTTCCTCAAACTTCCAATATTTTTGATTTCACTGAGGGTTTGGGCTTTATTCTCCGAAGACGAGACTTTCTAGGAAGGTACGCTCGAGTATAACACCATAGATGGGACAATTATTCCAAACCATCTATATCCACCCACTCTTGCATTAAGTGAAGAGAACCGGTACTCACTAAGACGTCCAAATAAGATTTTTGTCCCTGTCACAAAATCCCAACAAAGCGCCATATCTACCTGCACTTGTGCTCGTACAATGAATACGCGATGGGCAAGACCAAACCTTTTCGGGTGCTTGTTTCGATGCAATTGTAAACTTCGCCTCTGGGTCCGCCTACCGTATCTTGTTGTGCTCGCACCTGACTGTTCTTTTCTGTCCAGTAAATCTAGTAGCACCGGGTCAGATAATGTAACTTCTGTGGCTTGGGGTTCGTACCCCACAATACTCAGGGAATCTTATAACCCCATGTGACATCATGCCACCAAAAAACTGTACTTAATCGATGAGCTGATAAGCAACCTGCTTGTTTTCCATTCTGAACCCACCACTCCTCTGGACGATCTCCACTAGACTGTGATCACCTATCAGCTCACAAATCCTAGTACACGGTATTGATTCAACATGGATTATAACTTGAACTATTTTACTGAGGGGTTAGAAGGAGCAAAACACTTGGAATACCAGGGTATTGACTCATTCACCGCAGCTATTGAGTCACAACTGGAAAAATTACGTTCTGGTAATACAAATGGTTACACTATCCAATACCTGATAGTTACCCTGGTTACACAACATGAGCTAGCAAAGATTGAGCAATTTCGTGACACTTATTTAAAGGGGCTCCGCTTCTTGTACCTAAATAACACGAAAGCATTGATCATTAAAATCATGCTAAGTTCAGTTCATGAAATCAGTTGCATGGAATTTACACTATTCTTTTGGGAGAAGGTGCTAGCAATGAAACTGAAAAATGATCTTTCAGCAATAGGAAGAAAAACTTTTCGTGGCAAGGCAAGCAGCAAAGAAGCTGATTTTTCATTCAAGCCTGTATCACGCATCCTTAGAGATGATTGGCCAACTTTAGTTTTTGAGTATGGAGTTACAGAATCCTATGCACACTTGAAAACAGTTGCACATTGGTGGCTGGAAAACTCTTTAGGAAATGTCAAAATTGTTCTGCTCTTTTTGGTTTCTGAAACCAGGAAATCAATACGTCTCGAACAATGGGAAAACATTACTATTTCAAATCTACATCCTACCAAGAGCAATCCTTCTTGTGTTATAACAAGGCCAACAAAAACCCAGCAAGTTACTATTACTGGATCTACTACCACTGGACCGGTCTTCATATTCGACTTTGAGAAAATCTTCCTTCGTCAGCCAGTTAATGGTGAAGGTAATATTATTTTCCCCACCCCAGATCCTGAACCATATGCTCCAAAAGTGTGGCTTGTCCCACAATAAAGTAACTTTTCCATGCCAATATTGTAAGTCCATTTTATAAAACTTTTACCTCAAATTATACTTATTGCTAATTATATATAAACTATCTAATAAGTAAAGGCTAGAGACAATACTACTTACTTCTGTTGGAGATATGTATGAAGTACCCTTTTAATAAAAATGTTGTGAGTTAATCTTATAAAACTTCTACTTCAAGTTATACTTATTGCTAACTATATAAGCTGTCTAATAAGTAAAGGCTAGAAAAAATACTACTTATTTTTGTTGGAGATACATATAAAGTAATCTTTTAACAAAAATATTGTGAGTCAATCTTATAAAACTTCTACTTTAAAGTATACTCATAGCTAATTATATTAATTATTCAACAGGCTAGGGCTGGAGATAATACTATCTACACTTATTGGAGATAGTATTATAAATAAATCTATAAAATATGGAGAGGGGGTTTAACTTTTGGGAGAAGGAAATAGCCTGAGGCTGAAGGCTATTTAGAGTAGATAGTTTTTTATGATATTACAATTTTTTTGTATACTTGTTACCAATTGATTTAAAAATCTCCACTTAACTGAAAAGTCCAACATTCTCTTACAGAATATATGAGAAGTCTTGCTACTTAGATGTGAACTATTATTACTATCACGTAAATGACATTTGAGAGAGATATTGAATTTTATGAATAGGCACAATCTTAATAGACTGTGTGGATTATATAGTTACAGTATTAGAAAAATATTTTCAGCAGGTTTAGGTGAGGATGCAGGAGGCATGAAGGCGGAATTTCAGTGGTAGGTAGTCTTGTCTTTAATTATCTTAAGAGAAGTGGATGGAAATATCTAGATATAGTAGAATTGCTAAATTTGTGCTGGAAATAAAAAAGAGCCAATGGGAAAACCCTGCAAGGTCAATAAAACTCCCTGCCAGTGCATCTGCACAGGTGCGTATGATACATACCTAGCAACACCTCCAGTCCTAGAGTCAGCGGCGAGGTATTAGAACGGGTAAGCGGCTAAGAAGAGCCTACTACCCTGAGAAGAACACACTTCCATCTTCTGATTGAAGCCATGTATACTGTATTGGAAAGGGGCCAAATATGGAGCAACTTAAATAAGGGAGCATGAGCAGAGAAAAGAAGTCGGAAATGATAGAGCGATACCCCATTACGCGTATCACAAATGAGTTCCTACCATTGTGGGGGCCCGGTGTGCGATCCTATGGGAAGGCTTTCCAAGAGCTTATGATGGGAAATGACAGCTCTGTATAGCTCCCCGCGGGCAGTGAACCTGAGCTGCTGGTCCTGTTTTTAGTACGGCCGGACTAAGCAAGGCTCTTTCAGGGACGGCCCGGCCTGACCGTAGGGAAACGGTTTTTCAAAACCAAAGCAGTGTTCCGGGCCGAGGTTTCTCACGATCACCTGAGTTGCATTCTTAAGAGAGCTTTTGTCATTCAAAAGAACTAAATTGTGCACAACAAAATTATTCGGTTAATATATATTTCACCCTGGTGGGACAGTACAAGGATTGAGTACAACTAGATGCCGGTATCGTGGCAGTTGGTCGGCAGATGACATAGACTCGTCTTGAGCAAAATCTACAGCGCCGGGAGCAGCCTTGCTCTCATTCTCCTATTCCGAGTGGTTAAAATTGAAAAGTCTGCTAGCTATTCACAGATATCTTCCAACTGCCTGGGTATCTGGTGCCTTTGACTTGAGTTGCTGTAAGATTCGACCCAATGGTCGCCTTAGCACCGCAGGGCCATGTTTTTTGAAATCAAGGCCAGACCGACCGGACTGCTTTCCCATGGCCTGGACTGGCCTCTCGGGAACACCGGATGCAGACCAAGGACGGCCTTCCTCGGAACTGACAGTAAGCCCTAGAAGATGGGATGTGGCGTCCAGGAAGGGGTAGAACAACAGGGACAACGGAGGGGGCAACGGGAGATGGCAGGGGATGGTACGGAAAGGTGGAGGGCAATAGGGAACTCTGGGGTACGGCTGGGGGCAGTAT